CTTTTTTTTTTTTTTGTTTTACACAAATTTCCCTTACTCTTATGTGGTGTTAATCTCTTCCAAGTAACTCCATTCAAAAAAAATTTATCCCCAACTTGACTCGTGTTTTAAACAAAATAAATTTGAATAATTTATTAAATTCGTTTAAAAAAGTAAGTTTAAACATTTTGATTTATACTCACAAAATTTGACTTGATTAACACTCATATTTCCTCCACAAGTAAATATTATGTGTAACGTTGATGCCATATATCTATTGTCACGCAATATAATCGTTACAATGATAATTTATCAAATGGACAAAGTGGAATCTGCACCTTCAAATAACTACCCTCCCCGTAAAGAAAAAAAATGTTCATTTCTATGCTGATGTAATATCATTAATTAATAATATATAAACAAATAAGAAAATGAACCACACAAATTAATTACTATATGTCAATGTAAGCTAATAGTTACTAAATTGGGGTTCATTTTACACATTTAGAATTTTATTATTGATTGGTCATATACTATGTCAATAATAATAACATAGTATCACCGTTATATTGAATATTTTCTCACGTAAGATAGTAACTATTTCAAAAATAAGATTTCCTTCACCCACTTATTTATTTATAATTATACGACTATATTATGTGATAATGTTGATTTGATATAACCTTTATACTTAATATTTACCCCTACTCTATACAGGGATTGTGAGCTATTATGTTAATTTGCGGGTTACCTTTTTTTTTTCTTCCATTGTTTTATTAAGAAAATGGCATTTAATAATATTTTTAAAAAAAATATTTTTAAAACACTTTTATTTAATATTATTGTTAGGAAATTGAATTCTCCACTTATAAAAGTATAATAATAATTAAGATGATTTAATTTCTATCTACTTTGATTTAATGGTATAAAATTTATTCTCAAATTTGTTTTACTATTCAAAAACTTTATTTTCTCTGCACAGTTTTTATTACTAAACAATTCAAGCAATACACTCCCCAATATCAAAATAATCCATTAATCTACATTTACCTCTTTCTTCTCTCTCCACTACCTCAATTTTATTTCTTTATTTACCTTAATTTCAATTACATAATTAAAAGATGATCGTGATTTATAATGAATCATTGTCATTAAATTGATAATAGACTTTAGTTAGAGTATCTTTAACTCTGACTCAAATTTAAATTTAAATTAAAAAAGCCTAAAAAAATTTT